CCCTCCCCCTTACCCCGCTTGCCGGCTCCGGCTCAGACGAGGCCCCGTGGCTCTTCGGCCTCCTAGTGCGGGCGCACCTCTCGCTGGAGTTTGAGCATGCTGTGCTCCGGCGGGGGGTGCCTGCCTTCGAGGCACTCTGGGCCCTTGAGGGAGTGCTGTGCCACGTGGAGGACGGCCATCTCAAATACGCGCTCTGATGTCTTGACTGGTCTGGGCGACCGGGCAGGCGCGGTGGCGGACCTGTGGCTTCTGGCTTGTGCCATGCCCTGGGCCCTCGCCAGGCTGCTTTTGTTTATTTTCTCGGGGTGAGATGTTGAAGGTTTTTGTACGTGTACTATGGGACACGGAAGGGTGGAATTGTTCGTTTCTCGAGGGCTATATATGGCATGTTCAGGTTGGGAGAAGAGAAGGCTTTAAAAGTTCCAACCCTGTAGACACCCTAGGCGAGTGAAACCGGGTAGCAGTCCCGTGAACTCTCTTTAATCAGTCTGGTTCTGAGGCTGAGCGGCGGTCGCCGTCTGTTATGGGCGCTTATATATAGCATGTTAGACATGATGTGTATTACTGTGAAAGTGTTTGTCACGGTGTGATGTTCTGAATGTCCTGGAATAGTTTCTCTTTGGTATGGTTTGATGGTTTTTTGCTTTCTGTACCTGATCTTTTGTGAAATAAAGTTGTTAAAAGTCAAAAGTCCTTCCTTCTGCTTTAGATGCTTCAGACCAGGCTCACTTGGAGCTGCATGGGGTGATCCTGAGCTTAAGACTTCCCAGCTTTCTATCTCTTCTTTTCTGACTCCCACCTGTCTAAAGGTCCTTGCTTTTGTTTATCTTGCTTTCTGATTCTTTTCTTGCATTTTTGCAGTGTTTGGTTTTTCTTTTTCTCTGCTCTCTGTCCCCTCCCCCTGTACTTCCAGTCCCTTTGTCTGAGAGCTGTTTCGGTACAGCCTTTTTTCTTACTGTCTCTTTTTTCCTTTCTTTCTTTGTTTTCTGCTTGCTTGTTGTGGGGAGTTATCTTTTACAATATCTTGCCTTCCGAGGGGTGCTCTTATTTCCCCCCTTTCCTTTTTTTTCCTCCCCTCCAGCTCTTCCCCCCCCGCGCCCCCCCACCTTCCTTTTAGGCTTTTATGGCTGCATTCCCAGACACTTATCTTGTTAGTTAGTATAAACATTTTTGTTTTCCTTTTTTTCAGTTATAGCTTTAAATTAACCCTGTCC